CCTATAGTGTGATGTTACTGGCCCAATTTTGTCACAACCACTTGTATGTTCAATTATGATATATGTGACCCTGGACAACAAAACCAGTCATAAGGGTCAATTTTTTTAAATTGAGATGTATACATCATATGAAAGCTGAATAAATAAGCTTTCCATTGATGTATGGTTTGTTAGGATAGGACAATATTTGGCCGAGATACAACTATTTGAAAATCTGGAATCTGAGGCAGCAAAGAAATCTAAATATTGAGAAAATCGCCTTTAAATTTGTCCAAATGAAGTTCTTAGCAATGCATATTACTCATCAAAAATTAAGTTTTGATATATTTACGGTAGGAAATTTACCAAATATCTTCATGGAACATGATCTTTACTTAATATCCTAATGATTTTTGGCATAAAAGAAAAATCGATAATTTTGATCCATACAATGTTTTTTTGGCTATTGCTAAAAATATACCCAAGCGACTTAAGACTGGTTTTGTGGTCCAGGGTCACATATACACTTAACAGTCAAACGTTTGGAATAATAATTGTTTTTTTTTATGTATCTTATGCTCACCAAGGCTGTTACAAAAAATAAAAATAAAATAAAATAAAAATAGTAATATTGTGAAATATTACAATGTAAAAGTACACAGCAAAATCCCCAGAGTTAAATCAACTCTGCTCAGAGTACATATTGTCCCAATCTACAGAGTGATTTTACGGAATTTTTTTTACAGTGTACTGCTCAGGCTTTTAGACATGAAAACTTACCACACAATCCTCAACAGTGGTAACTCTGCTTCAGTGTTACTTTAACACTCTGTAGATTGGGACAATATGTACTCTGAGCAGAGTTGATTTAACTCGGGGGATTGTTTTCTATTTGAATGTACTTGATCCTGTGATGCAAAGCTGAATTTTCTGCAGAAATTACTCCAGTGTCACACGATCCGTCAAATATCATTCTTATATGATGAATTGGTGATCAATTATTATCAGTTATTATTGGTGCTCAATTATTAATAATGGTTCTTATTATTATCATTGTTTTGCTGGTTAATATTTTTGTGGAAAGCGCGATACATCTTTTCAGGATTCTTTGAGGAATAGAAAGTAAAAAAACAGCATTTATTTGAGATAGAAATCGTTTGTAACATTGTAACAAGTCTTTACAGTAAAAAAAGTAAAAGAGGTAAAAACATATAGGATTATGAAATGTTTCTTGCACCAAATCAACTTATTAAAATGATATCTGAAGGATCATGTGACCCTGAAGACTGAAGTAATGGCTGCTGATAATTGAGCTTTACCATCAGAGAAATAAATTATGTTAAAATACTGTATATTCAAATAGAAAACTTTTTTTTAAATTATATTTTACAATATTACTGTTTTACTGTAAATATTGTACTGTAAATAAATGCAGAATTTGTGAGACTTCTTTCAAAACATAAAAAAACGTAATTATTCAAACTTTTGAGCGCTAGTGTAATTAAAAAGTTTAACAGCAGTTCACTTAAAGTGGTAATGAAAGGTTCATATTTTGGTTTTGGGAGTCCCCAACAACAGGTTGACATGCATGCAATGTCAAAAAACTATTTCATTGTCTTATAATATGCATTTATTTTTACCTTACTTGCTCAAGGACTCCCAAACCATTCACTCAATGATTCATTTTTCCAAAACCCTCCTTTGCATGAGGCTAATCTGCGTGATTGGTCCGCATCATGACTGTAATCAAAGTCCTTTTAAGGTATTCTATAGTGTTTGCTGTAATGCCTGACAAAGCAGCGTTTGTGAGCGCAGTGCTGCTTTTGTGCTTTGTGTAAAGCGTTACCGGGGAAACCGCTATTTTTACTGCTCTAAAAGGGCACCTAGTGGCAAATAATTAATTTGCATTTTCATTCAACCAACGCGAAAATACCAACAAGTGGGCGGGCAATATGCTAATGTTTCATGTTGACGTCACCATGAAACGGCTTGGGATTCGTTTTAAAAACGACTCGTTTCAATGATTCAGAGTTGACTCTTTCTTTTGGGAGACAATAACTTTATACACGGTGCATTTTCAGATTTAAAACTTTGCAGGACGTTTTCATTCACTTAGAGCTGTCTTACACACTGCATAAAAGGTAATTTTCAAAAATCCATAATAGGGGCACTTTAATTGTGGAGTTTACAGGGCAAAACAGCAGAAAATGAACTGTCACTTAACATCATGAACTGTAACAGTCTGGTTTGACTCTTGCAAAGAATCTGCCTATTGCTCAAAATAATATTTCGCAAGTTTCAGTGTTGCATAGTGTCCGTTTACTGTGACCCAGGACTGTCACGATGGCTTCAGTCTAACAGCAGATTGTGAATGGACTGTTTCTATAACAAAAAGCTTCGTACTTGGAGTGGAAAGTAATCAGGCATTGTTCTCTGCACTCATGGCTGACCTAAAAGCATGAGACTCATGAGCAACTTGCTCTGATTAAAGAAACAAATGTTTAACCACCCATCACAGCACAGTTTTGCCAGGACAAACACGGAGACAAGCAGCTTTAAACATTGCTGAGATGAGAACCAGTTTTGCTTTTGCTTCAGGACCCAATGTAAGAAGTAACCTAAATCAAACCTGTGACCCTTTTTGGATGCAGCTGGGTTGCATTTTCTGTTATCTCGCATAGTTTGGATCCTGGTTTTCGAGGTTCACGTAAACTCTTAATACCTATAGCCTAGGCCAGTGTTTCCCAACCTTTTTCTAGTCACGGCACCCTTTGGAAATTTTAACAAACTTGTGGCACCCTACAAAATTAATTTTGTCACAATATTTGAATTTCTAACTTCGATGTGATAATTTGAAAAGTATAGATATTCGGTACAACAGGGAAGAACTGCAGAATATAATGTCATACAGATATTTTTCAGTGGGGTAATTTTGGTGCAGTAGCACGAGATAGCTTGATTTCAAACTTTGAATTGAATAAAAAATTACAAGTAAGCAGTCAGTAATAAAATAAGAACAAATAAAGAAATTAATAATGATAGCACAAATAAAAAATAACGACAGGCCTTCGAATTAAATAAATTGCTTTTTAGTTTTTCAGGTAGCCCTAGGTCTAACAGTAGGGGTAAGATAGGCCTATTTAACTTTTTTTGTTTTTTTTTACCAATTATCCAAATAATGTTTAGTCCTAGAAAGCTGTTATTATCACAACACGCGAGTATAACATAGCGGTTAGCAGATCAATGAATGAGAGGGCAGCGTTACCAGAGTTGCCCATAGACCACACCATGTTACAACACAGTAGGGCTATTGCAGACAGAAACAATACTGTACTACATCGATGGTTCCTGTCAGCTCGATTTTTGAGCGGACTTTGCTGTTCCGATGAGCATGAACGGTATACGAGTGGAGCGACTGAGCGGAGCGCACACGCATAGAGCGGATAATACGCAGAGTGTCATTCCACAAAGTGAAACCTGAGCGGTGAACTAATTTTCGGCAGCCGAAATTTCGGTGCATCTCTAATTATTGGCGACATCAGAAATGGATATTATATAATAGATGCTTTTTTGAAAATTTTAGCTATTTAAAAATATTAAAAAATGATTTTTTTACACGGCACCCCTGCTCTCGACAGACGGCACCCCAGGGTGCCGCGGCACCCCGGTTGGGAAACACTGGCCTAGGCTACTGTCTCAGTCTGTATCAATTTGCGCCAAAATGTCATATAGCCTAGAGTTTGATTGGACTTGCAGCATTTTATTCCAGCATTGAAGGGTATGGGAAGCGTTTTCTTTTCATTTAAAGGTTGATAAGCCTATTTATTTTTGCTATACTAACTATCATTAGTGTTGTGGATTCAGTGACTCTTTCTGCAGGTTAGTCACCTACCAGTAGGTGGCGGTAAGTGACTGTCTTTATGAGTGAGTCATCAAACAATTAATTCAAAAACGCCGATTAATTAAAAAATTAAAAATTAAAATAAAATAAATGATATAGTGCATCTATATTAATGAATCATTGAATCATTCATTCATCCAAAGCGATCAAACATCAGGAATCACTTAGTGTTGTTTCTCGCAATGCTCGGCGTTATCCCAGCTAACAAAACATGTTCTAAGAACGTTTTCTGCTATGAACATTCATAATGCCCAGTTTTTAAACGTTTTAAAAACGTTTTTTTCCTAGTTTTGCGAACATTGAGGGAATATTAATTTGGAATATTCCCTGACCATTCAGAATATCGTCCAAGGTTCCATGAACTATGTATAAATAATCTTAATGCGCTAAAATTTTGAGAACATTATTAAAGACCAGATAACTATAAACGAATATTCTCTTAATGTTTCTGGAAGAACGTTTGTTCTTTGAGAGTACCTTGCCAGAACATTAGCCAAAGTTCTGTGAACATTCTGTTAGCCGAGTCTGAGATGCGCATTCATTTGCAAAACTTAATGAACATGAATTGCGTTCTGTATATATTGCTTTCTTTATATATAAAGCTGATATAGGCCTTTCATAAATGTTGCAAAAATATTGCGTTCTCCAAGAAACTTTGCATTTGCTCACGAAAGCACTGTATTTAGTTTAGTCAGTGAATCCTCTGCATTTTTATTTTGGTTATTAGTGTGGCAGTGTAGGTGAAAAGACATTAGTTAGTTACTTAATTCAGGAACAGAATTCTAAAACCTATAGTTAAGTAAAGCTTTCATTTCTTTTAGATCACCACAGGTGTTTCCAAAAGTGCCAAGACTACCGTGCAGACTAATTTTGTGTACAAAGTGACTGAGCGAGAGAGAAAAAAGCGAGAGGATATAGGGGGTCTATTCAGCCCCTCAGTCTATGTCAAGTCTCTGTAGCCATTTGTCAGGAAGCATGAATGCTTGCCTTCATCTTCTCCCTTTTTTGCTTCTTTAGGCCAACCACAGTTCAGCTTTAAGCTGATTTTGCCTCTCTTCTTTGTGGGCCGGGAGTAGTCCGTTCTTCCATGGTCCAATAGCCTATAAATTTAGGAGTGACATCACTGCCAGATTATGCTCTTGCCAAGTGTCATGAAAGAAACTCTCCCCGTTGTTCCCCAATGAAAAGAAAAGAGGCAAAGAGGCTCTGGGAAACCCTGACACTCCTCCTTGCCTGCCATGGGAACTGTTAACACAGAAGAGAAAATATTTCAGTTGACAATGCACAGAATGTAATCAGGCACTGTTCCAGGACCAGACCAAGGTTCATTCTGGGACTGCTTTTAATTTTAGGCCAGTCTTGTTGGATAATGGCTACTTATGTTATGGATGTCTATGTGTAAACTGACATCTCTCTAAGTTATGGAGAGATGTCTATGTGTAAACTGAGCTCAGACATCCTTTCATGACTGAAAATCAACAGCCATATGTGGTATATGTCCCAATATTGATTTTCTTGTCCTTATTGATCCAATGCGCACCATTCAAAATTGCATAGTAGTCTAATGTCACAAACTTGCATAGGAAAAGTAGTAGTAATGCTTAGTTTTACTAGTCGTATTGTTTTTCTTTCAGTATTAATGCCTGATGTCAGCCAAAATTCAATGCTATACGAAAATATTTTAAAACAATTCATAAATATATACAAACACTACTATATATTTTATATGTACACTTTTTATATAGATATGTTTAAAATAATATCTATCTAACATGCAATGAGGGTATTGTAGAGTAGGCTCAGTTAGGAATAGTTTCTGTTGGCTTGGAGATGTTTAAGAGTTTTTTTGGATGCTTGAATAGCAGTCTGGCAGAAACCTTGAATAGCTCAAAGCAGGGTCTGCATACCAATGCAGTTAACACCCGGCACTATTGGCAGCTTTTTGCAGTATTGTGATAGTGATAGATTTAAAAAATGTAGATATGGGCATATTTCTGAATCCTTAGTTTTTTTTATTAATCTCAATGAATGTTATTTTAATTAGGTATTTAGATGTAGTTGTTTAATTTTACATTACATTTATTTAAATGACGTTTTTGACAAGACTTACCGGTAATATTGTGAAAGATAGTTTTACATAAATACACCTTTAAAATGCTATTTGAGTAATTTATCTAACAAAACGTTTGCATTTTAACTTGCTTTTTCACAAAAATTACACAAGGACCACAAAGGTTACATGAGAGCAGATTGCAGTAATGCCACCTACTGGTGACAGTGGATGTTGACATAATGGCCTGGGTAATATTGAAATAAAGTATTTCTTCAAAAAAGACCTGACCAAAAAAGAAAATAGAAAAATACTGGAAAAAAAAAACAAACAATAATAAGTAATAAAAGAGCTCTCAAACAATTGTGATTGTTGCAAACATTTATTTCTTCTAAAACATAAATCAGACCTTCAGCAGAATTCAAGTCTGTATTACAGTTACAATTGCATTACAGTTCCAATAGCATTTACAATTGCATACATTCAAAAAAGACCTGACCAAAAAAGAAAATAGAAAAATACTGAAAAAAAACAAAACAAACAATAATAAGTAATAAAAGAGCTCTCAAACAATTGTGATTGTTGCAAACATTTATTTCTTCTAAAACATAAATCAGACCTTCAGCAGAATTCAAGTCTGTATTACAGTTACAATTGCATTACAGTTCCAATAGCATTTACAATTGCATACAGGCCTTTTTTTGACTGGAGACCATATTGTTGATTCTGTTGAGAGCTTTATAAATATGATTTCCGTTTATGGCTATACATTGTACAGGGAATGTTTTTCAATATCTAACTGCAAAACCATGCAAAAGAAAAAAAATGAATATAATATTACATTATACGTTTTTAGTGAAACTATACAATTCCAATTACAAACACACAAATTAAATAAGGTCTGGTTTAGATACATTTTTTAAACAAAATTCTTGCAAACATCATGCAAAACTATTATCTTTGAGGAACATTTTTCAAATATGAACTGTAAATTAGATTTAAAATAACAATACACAAATTTGATGTTACAAATGAACTATTGAAAAATGCTGTTATTCATTGCTTCACAGTTTGCATGAGAACACACCAACAAGCTCATAATCTACCATGGTTAAAGTAACTTTTTTTTTTTCAAGTCCAAAAAAGACCTATATCTGTTACAAGTGAGCATTGCTATAATATGCATTTGTGCAGGTGACTATACATCCTCTTATTCCCAGACATATCCTGATCGGGGTTTCTACATTGCCTAAAATGTCCGGGTTTTGGCTTTTGCTCTCTACAGTCCTCAGACATTATATGTACATGCATTTGCATTGACTGTTCTCTGTAGATCCCACCTTCTTCTTCACAATTTGTCAATTAAGCACAATGCCTGCATGCTGGACAAACTACTTTACAGTCATTACCTTCAGCAAGAACTAAAAGTCAAAACCCAGACAAAACGTATGATCGCTGTACACGTTACTGTACATCAGAGAAAATAAAGCTCTTTCTACAGACATGAGTTTATTCTCTATGGAGCCACATGCTGAACTCCTACAGAAAAGACAGTGGCAGTAAAATAAATGTCTCCAGGGCGGCCCACCGGCACACTAGTTTAATGGTGTGTCTCACTAGTACACACCATTAAACACTCAATATCATTAAATCAAGTAATGGAGTAATGAGCCAGGGAGCCACCAGGGGCAGTGTTGAAAAACACTGTGGTTGCATGCAATTCATTTCATCTGGCACATAATTTTATCCCATACTGAAAAAAAAATCTTCTGTACGAGTATAACGTGCAATAGACATTTTTTGTAACATAATTCAGAATGCCATTTAATTGGCTCTTCTATATTAGGTATACGCCTATCCATGTAATATTGCAAAAAACACATCCACATCGTTACAGACATTACCTTACATAAACTATTAATGTTATGCAGAGAAATGTAAAAACAGTAGCGGTTGCAATGTAATATATTAGAACAACGCAGTTGACTTGATGTTTAATGCTTTTTCCTGGATTTAGCACAACAGTTTAGCTTCATTTTGTTATGCAAAATCCAGTGTGTTCATTTATAAAGAGCACTGAACAAAACATGTGTTTCCTCTGTGAAGTATAGATTTATAAAAAGTTTGGCAAGTTGTATTAAAACAAATGTATGGAAAGCTAAAAGAGAGAGAAATAAAACAAAAAAATATAAAAAAGTACAGCAAACAGGCTTGTCATTTGACCTTTGTCTCTGACTTTGAAACGTTTCTATTGTCAAGAGTTTCTATTGTTACACATTACTACAAGATTGCTTTTAAAGAATATGTGCATAATAAATGGAATGATCATAAATCAGATAAAGGTTCACCATGATCTGAAGTCTACACTTGACATAGTGACAAAAACTCACCCTCCTCTATCTGTGGAATATCTTTGGAGACATCAGGTTCTTCTCCTACAGAAGGGAAATATATATTTCTTTAATCTAATCTCAATCAAATTATTTTACAGTACACCATGGTTATTATCCTCCTGAGACCCTGCATCCTCATATGAGGACATTATATTTGAGTGAATATCTCTGAGACTATACACGCCACAGTTTTAAGTCTGGATGTCCTGTATGAAAATCTTGTCAATTATGACTCCCATTATTACACTTCTTTTTCATTACATTATATATAATGAGAAAACCTGCTATGGCCATTTTACACACATTTTGCATGAAGAAAAATGGTATATCAAATAATTCTGTTATAACATAGTTGAGAATTATCTTAATGCTCTAAAGTTTAGAGCTAAACAATGTAATGACATGAAAAAATACTAATTTTTTCCTAAAATGTTTTGCCGGGTCTTAAGAGGATAAAATAAACTAAAATGACAACTAAAACCATTAAAAACATTTTACTTGAAATAAAAGAAACTTAAAGTGGAATCAAATAAAACAAGAAAACAAACAAAATTTATTTCTGTAAGTTGACAACATCTCTAATTTTCATTTAGTTTAAGTTAAAATACTAAAATATCTAAAACTGAGATACATATAAACAAAAACTAAAAACATTTAGTAATTTTGTTGTGTTTTATTTTAGTATTTCAAATATATGAATACACACGCATAAATATCTTACCTTTTACTTCCTTGCCCACAACAGCTTCCTTCTCAGTTGGCTCGACTACTGATTACAGAACATTAACAAAACATCAGGTAAATGTTGTTTTACATGTTACACATTTAGTATATGTTTATGGCGTTATTTTAATGACAAATGTCGAGAGCGCATTATTGTAGCGCGAAAGCACATTAATATAATGCGCGAGCGTTGTCAAAAGAAAACAGATGTTTTTCACTAAAGGCCTTTCCTTGTTAGGGCCCAAGCCAGTAAGGCTTAGGGCCCTATTGTTTTTCTAAGGATTATTATTATTATTATTATTTTTTTTTTTTTATTCAAACTTCCGGGGCTTTTTGGGGGCCTTAACATCCTCAAAAACTCTTGAAAATTTGCACACGTGTTGGAACCTGCGGCCATCAGGACACCGCAGAGGCTGAGACCTGGGCGTGGTAGAGGGGCTCTACGGCGCCCCCTGGAACAGAGTCAGAAAACTTGATGTATAGCTCACACATACTTGCACGTATTCATATGAAACTCAGTACACATATAGAACTCATTGAGCCGAACAACTTTCAC